ATCAGTTTAACATGAAATAAATAGTAGACAAAGGTGTCTAATAAATAAATAGTAGTTATTAGAAACCTTTAAATTGTATTATGATATCAATCATACGTACAAATGTTTGGTCACTAATTACCAGGTTAATTAGGATAATTCATGTATCGATCATATAAGAGACTACTGATACATATGTCTGGTCATAAATGTGCACCCAGAACCAAAACCACAAAAACATACAATACACTTTTTGTCGAGCAGTCTACACCACTTCCCAAGTATTCATATAATATACGATCACATACATGCTTGGCTTTATAATCAGAGCAGAGAAAAATAATTACACTACAAAACTGCAATGAAAGTTTAATTACATAAATTCAATATAAAATATTGCAAAGAACTGAATTTGAATGACCCATTAAACAACACTATCACACTACAAGCTGAGATATACCAGCAACAATCAACAACTAATACTTGGTTATACATCACATGGGAAAACCAGGAAAGTTGTCAACAAGTTAATGTTCCCTAGGAGTACATTAGCTTAACCATAGTGAATCTAAATCCAAAATGATAAAGGTAGTTGAAAAGGGCTTACCTCTGAACCTCTTTTCCTTAGCCAAAGGATTTTCTGGAAATCAATAGCTGCCTTGGTCTCGGGTCTCTATTTACTGTATATACATAATATCTAAGTCTCTATTTACTTCCAGATGAACCGGTGCATTAGGTGAAAGAACATGAGCACAATCATTTCGGTCCCATTTGGGAATTAAACCCGGGATTCCTGATTGCGAGTCGATAACAAAGCCAACCACAAAAAAAATCCATAAAAACAGTGATGAAGATTCGAACCAATGCGGTGGATGTTCCAACGCACTAGGCACTAGGCCACGACGTGGTCAAAAGAATTGTACCCTGGTGTTCAACTGAACACACAAAGGTTTCCTGAGGCTTCCACTGAAGCCAGACCAGGATTTTCCCACAATCCCCCTCCCCATGCACTCTGGCTCTGTCATCCAGGACTTGTCCTACCTCTGACACTCCTCTTTCAATACACAGAGAGAGTAAACACATCAGTGTGAATACTGATACAAATCACACTAACGTGATTACTCTTTTATTTGTATTATAAAATTATTTGTTAATTTATGTTATTTATAATATAAATAAATATAATAATAATATAAATAATAATATAAATAATATTATTTTTTAGTTTATTATTATTATTATTATTATTATTATTATTATTATTATTATTATTATTATTATTATTATTACTATTATTATTATATCTGAAATATTCAGTAGTACACGGTACAGAGGATGAATAGTTAGATAAAAAAACATATTTAAGAAAGTTACTGACACATCCAGACGAGACAGTAGCCTAAAATGCTATACATCACGATACAGAGAAGCACTAATACGATATACATCATACAAGTGTATTTTAATACACACGCAGAGGGGGTGGGGGACAGGTCTGTCTTCCATCTATTCATCTATTTTTTTTTCAATCTACATATTCATCTGTCTCTTAGTCTGTTCCATCCATACTTTTATTAATACCCGTCCACCTCTCTATCCATCCATTTCTCTATTCACCAATCTATGTATTCATCTTCATTTTCATCCATCCATGTAAATGTCACTCTAGATATAAATCTTCTCTGTATATATATATATATATATATATATATATATATATATATATATATATATATATATATATATATATATATATATATATATATATATATATATATATATCCGTTCATCAATCTATCTGTCCATTCATCCATAATCCATTAATCTCTCAATGTATCTATCCAGCTCTCTAAACATCCATCTATGTATTCATCTATCGTTCCGTCCATCTTTCTATAAATTTATCTATTAGTTTATCTTCTATGTATCTATCCATCCTTTTATCTATTCATTTATCTTACCATCTATCCATCCATCTACGTATCCCCTCTAACTATATGTCTACCCATCCATCAATTTATGTATGCATCCTTCTTTCCATCAATGGTTCCATCCATCTATCCATCAATCATAATTTTTTCCAAACATATATCTTTGTATCAATCTGCCTGTCCCTACATTTATCCATCAACGAAAGAACTTTAAGGAACTAAGAATGTTTATTTTTTTTTTAATTTTATTAACACATTTCGATACATGTGCATTTGTGTAGCTACCCTAGACTATATGAAAGGGAGTACAGTGTGTCAAAAAGGTAGCTACGTGATGCTAAAAAATCCCCATCACACAGAATGGTTAGTCATACCGAGACATGTGATAAGCAGTCGGCATCGGCAGACTCCTTATGCATTCTGAGGATATCATCAACACAAGAGTGAATAAGGTAACAGTGATACTAAAATTCCCAATCTCAGGATGGTTAGGCATACAGCCTCATATGTTTAGTAGCCTACACTGGCAAATTTTGGGTGCAATATGAAGATATCTTCAAGAACACGAGAGTGAATAAAGTAATTGCAAAACTCAATGTACCTCATGCCAACGGGTCTGAATGGTCTAATAACTGGGCATTCGGTGATGTAGTGTGGGAGATCATGCCGCAGTTCCTGCTCACAGAGTTTGCACCTGGAATGCTCAGGATTGGGAGATCCATCACCTATAGCCACCTGCCACAGGTAACGGTAACCCAACCTGATCCTGGCAACCACTGTGTCGCACAGTTCCCGCACCAGGCAGAAACAAACGGGTAAAAGTTTCTTTCACCCTGAATGCCCCTGTTACCTAGCAGTAAATAGGTACCTTGGAGTTAGTCAGCTGTCACGGGCTGCTTCCAGGGGTGTGTGCGTGTGTGTGGTGTGAAAAATAAAGTAGTTAGTAATCAGTTGATTGACAGTTGAGAGGCGGGCCGAAAGAGCAAAGCTCAACCCCGGCAAACACAACTAGGTGAATAAAACTAGGTGAATACAGTCTGTGGACGTTGTGTGCTGCCCATCAACATAGGTTTCTGATCTGAATAAATCATAAAAACCTACTGCATAATTATTATATTACACACTCTACGTGTGTATATCACGAAAATAAACACGTGATTACACACTCTACGTTTGTTACACGCCATATTTTGCACTTAATTTTCACACTTCACTCAGAAAATAGCGCAGTGTTCTTTATAATTATAAATATTTCCTAAAGCCGTCACCTTAGACCTACCCCAATCAATCTCCGTCCCGTACAGAAGACCATTCCTCCGACAAATTTTGGTGAGCCTACTTCAAGCGTCTAACCTGCAACTTTGAACTGTCAGACAGACAGCATTCTCTATAATATTATAGATCAGTATTTTCACTTTAACCAAAATGGTCTCTATCCATTGTACAGACTTCTTTGTACAACATATAGGGGGCTGAAAAGTACCACTGACTGGCTATACGCCGCTTTATCTCTCTAGTAATCTCGCACCAAGAAGGAACTTTGATAACATTAGAGTCTTGCCATTTGCGACAATGGAATTTTAATCAATTACATTCTTATCTCATATTAAATTTGCAAGTCTCCCATAACATGTCTAAACGTAACAGAAAATTACAGCTAGCACGGGAGAAGAGAAAACGAAATCCTTCAGCTATGGACTAACAAATGTAGACTTCTGACCCAACCACCTTAATTTTCAAAGACAATTGTTTGATGTCTGAGTTTAAAATTTTAAAGAAAAGCTTTGAAATTATGCTACTGTTTCCCACTGTCGGGGCGAGGACGCTCAGTATAAAACAAAAAGCTTTACTAAAGCTGGTACAATATTTAAGCTTTATATCAAAATGTGTCAATATTTTAAGAAACAAACACAGAGCTAATTTGTATGTATTTTAAGAATATCTGTCTGTCTAGGAGACAGGAACAGAGGGAGGTGGAGATGAATAGAGTGGAGCAGAAGGAGAGTAAGGGCAGTAGGGGAAGCTGGAGAAGTAGGAGTTTCGGTCTGACCAGAACTGTTATCACGACCTGGACCTTTACTCATCCTAGACCTTACTCATCCTGGACCCTTACTCATCCTGGACCCTTACTCATCCTGGACCCTTACTCATCCTGGACCTTTACTCATCCTGGACCTTTAATCATCCTAGACCCCTTACTCATCCTGGACCCTTACTCATCCTGGACCCTTACTCATCCTGGACCCTTACTCATTCTGGACCCCTACTCATCCTGGACTCTTACTCATCCTGGACCTATGCTCATCCTGGACCCTTACTCATCATGGACCCTTACCCATCATAGTACCTTACTCATCCTGGACTCTTACTCATCATAGACCCTTACTCATCCTGGACCCTTACTCATCCTTGACTTTTATCACATCCTGATACTGGCCGAAACGTCGTCACTTTGGTCAAAATAATTTCCAGTCAGGTAAATTGTGAGTTATTTTCTGCATCAGGCAGTTACGTTCCTACAGACTTGGAACTTTCCTCAGAGGAATATAACTGACGGTTCTCTTCCCTGGTCTCTCAGATGTCCTCGTTAACCTCGTAAATTTGCCTCACGGTTGTTTGAAATTCGCTGCACAATTGCTTTTGGCATAATTAAGGGAAAAATATTCATATGTAAACCGTTTTTCTTCCGCTAATGCACCGTTAATTAGGTTGAATGGGAGGGTGTGTGTGTGTGTGTGTGTGTGTGTGAGGAGATGGGCACGCACGGAGGTGTGTGTGAGTGTGTGTGTGTGTGTGTGTGAGGAGATGGGCACGCACGGAGGTGTGTGTGTGTGTTTGTTTTATGAGTGTGTGTGTGTTTGTGAGTCTGTATGTGCGGGTGTGCATGTGTGGGACTTTTCCTACGTTTAACAGCTTCACCCATGTTAACAGCTTCAGCAATGTTAACCTCCCCGCGTCACCAGCTTCGCCGACCTTATCAGATTCCCTCACTTAAGCAGCTTCCCTTGCACTACCAGCCTTCCCCTACGTTTAAAGCGCCCAACACTGTAACTTTTCCGCGTTTCGTTGGCAAACAAAACAAAATTGACTGTGAATATACTTATATATCTCAATAACGGAACAATTCAATATATATCCAGGCATGATAGTAATTAAAAAATAAAATAAATGGTCATAACAATATACATTGCACGAGAGGCAAATCAAAGAAAACTTCCATACATATATATTAGTTTGATTTATATAATAATTATTTTTGCATTATGTTAAGCAGAGTTTAGAATGTTCAGTCTTGGAGAGGGTCCAGTGGTGGTAGATAGGCTTGCTTCTTTATCGCCTGTTTGGTGGCATGTGGGCTTGGATACACGGGAGGACGGACTTAATAGTTTGGGCTCTTGGATGGGCTAAAGGATATTCCTGAGAGCGTAAGTGGAACAGCAGCACCTCAAGTATGAACGCCGCTAGAGACAAGCCAATTCCTGACGGAGTAATAGGAAATCAGTATGAAAATAGAACACAAATTTACATACATATATACAAACACAAACACACACATTGAAAAACACACACACACACACACACACACACACACACACACACACACACACACACACACACACACACACACACACACACACACACATACACATGGAATCTCACCATGGATCCTTAAGGAAGGAGCAGAGGCTCTGTGCCTACCACTCTCCAAAGTGTACAACAAGTCACTGGTAACAGGCGAACTGCCAAAAATTTGGCAGGGGCAGACAGATTCCCTATAAACGACAAGAAAGTGTGTGAGGAACTCAGTAAGAAATTCTAGGAGGTCTTCATAGTAGAGCAAGGGGAAGTCCCAGAGATTAGAGAGGGACTATCTAATCAAACACCACTAGATGAGTTAAGGATTACCAGTGGAGAGGTGAGGAAGCATCTTGAAGAGTTGGATGTAACAAAGGCTATAGGCCCAGATGGAATTTCACAAAGGATACTGAAGAAAGGAGCAGAAGCTCTCGGCCTGCCACATTCCATGGTGTTTAACAAATCACTTGCAACAGGTGAACTGCCAAAAATTTAGAAGACGGCTAATGTAGTCCCGATATTCAAGCAGAGTGATAGACAGGAGACGCTGAACTACAGGTCAGTGCCCGTTACTTGCATACCATGCAAGATGATGAAGAAGATAGTGCGAAAAAAGATAGTTGAACATTTGGAGAGAAAAAACTTTGTAACACAACATCAGCATGGGTTCAGGGATGGCAAATCATGCCTCACAGGATTAACTGAATTCTATGATCAGGCAACAAAAATCTGGCAAGAAAGAGAGGGCTGGGCAGACTGCATATTTTTGGATTGCCATAAAGCCTTGGACACAGAACCACACAAGAGACTAATCCACAAGCAGGAGATGCATAGCTGGAGTGAAAGGGAAGGTTCTCTACTGGATGAGGGCCTTGTGGGGAATTGACCTGTGAGATTTATACTTTAATTTATATGAATTTATATATAACTCGTATTTTACGTTAATTTATATATTTCAATAGGAAATTGTATGATGGAGTGCACTGCATTTCTGCAAATTCTCACAAATCGACTCCCTGCACATTTGGGGGTTTTATGGTTAATATGCAGTCAATCAAAATTATTAATTAGCAGACATTCACTACAGTATTAAACTACATATATTAGTAATTAAAATTGGGAGGCCTTATCTTATGTGGCTGATTTAGTCCTAGACAACCAGTAAGAACACGGATGAACAAGCCAGTCAATACACATTGTGGGTGTGGCTGGCCCCCAATTCATGTACTGAGTACTTGGTTACTATTCTGTTTCCTCTTCAATTGTTCCTGTCAAAGGGCACTTGCAATAATAGCAGTAATCCTATATATATGCCAGCTATATCAGAGGAAATATTGGTAATTTAAATAAAGATATAAGATAAGGAAACAAGGAATAATTACTTGGGTTACGTCGCTGTTGCGTGTTCTAACCGGAAAATAATCCAGACACTGGATAACGAATGTGAGATGAGGTCTTTCACGAAACGGACAGAGAGATTGATCTAAGAGTTGATATCACGCCAACCCTGTCTCCTGAAGCCCACATCAAAATAATAACGTCGGCGGCGTATGCGAGGCTGGCTAACAACAAAACTGCTTTCAGAATCGTGTGAAAGGAATCATTCAGAACCTTGTATACCACGTATGTAAGACCAATCCTGGAGTATGAGGTCCCAGCATGGATCCCTTACTTTATCAAGCAGAATACGAAGATGGAAAAAGTTCAGAGGTATGCCACTAGACTAGTTCTAGAACTAAGAGGCATGAGTTACGAGGAAAGGCTGAGTGAACTGTACCTCACGTCGCTAGAAGACAAAAAGAGCTCTGGGAGACATGATCACCACAACAAAAATTCTCAGGGTAATTGACAGGGTGGACAAGGATGGATTATTGAATACGGGTGGCACACGCACAAGGGGACACAGGTGGAAGCTGAGTACCCAAATGAACCACAGAGACATATGAAAGAACTTTTTCAGTGTCAGAGTAGTTAGTAAATGGAATGCACTAGGAAGTGATGTGGTGAAACTCCATACACAGTTTCAAATGTACATATGATGGAGAATGAGAAGCACATAAATTTGTACACCAGAAGAAGAATGGTTGAAAGGCGGGACCAAAGAGCCAGAGCTCATCCCCCGCAAGCACAACTGAGTGAATACAACTTAATGAGTCCACACACACACACACACACACCCACACACACACAGTCAATTAATATAGTTGAATGTAGGGTTGTGCGTGTAAATAGGGATTACTGTGTTAAATATCAGTAAAACTATATTGAAACTGCATTTAGGAACGATAATTCCTGTCAGCAATCATGACAGCTTTTTACCGAAACCAAGGAGGGAGAAAACACCGTAAAAGTCCCGGAGCTGAAGAACGCGCTGCTCAATGGGTTCGGATCCCGGAGGTGTGAGACAGTGGGTGGAGTTCCGCAGCTGTTGCCGCAGCCAGTACTCCACCAAACCTCCCTCCCGCAGCCGCTGTATCCTGTCGCAGACGGCATACATACAACATACACCTTTGACTACAACAGCGATGGGATAGATTTGGTCTGTGTTGTAAAAGAACACAACAGGCTCCAGAAACACAAAATTTACATTCATATGTCTTTGACATTATATATAATGATTTAAAATTGATAGTAAGATCAGCTTTTCTGTAAGAATAAGGATTTCCTAGTGGGCAATATACATTGTGATATAGAATACAATTTGCGTAATTAAGTTTTTTGTTTTCCCCCGTGCAATTTTAAAAATTTCTGACAAAATATTGACTATTAACTTTCCTCAACCATAAACTACTGGTAAAAATGTTGAACGTGAATTAATTAAACTTTATTCAGAAGAAAGCAATTTTTTTAATGAATAAATGAATGAAGGGAATGTTAAGAAAAACCTCAAATAGTCAATTTGGTTGTGGTCAGATATGGGAGTAGAGCCAAGGCCGGATGCACTAATGGATGAGGGCAGTGAGTTATCAAGGGAAAGCGCCATGCCATTACGCCTATAAAGCTTGAAGGACGGGTCAGAATAAGGATTTTGGAAGGGACGGGGTGGAATTAATGGTGCCTTTCCTGTCAACAGTTGGTGGAAAAAGATGGGGGGTGGTTGTCAGGTTAGTAGGGAAAATACACAGTAGCCAGCTGTGGTGACAGAGGGGAGAGTTGCCAGGCTGACATGGAAGACATACAGCAGCCAGCTGTCGTGACATAGGGTAGAGTATCGAAGCTAGTATACAGGAAGAACTCACACCGGGTCGACGCGAGCCTTGAGAGAAGTGTTCTTATTGAAGCTCAAACTCAGCATATAACTTAGTATCACCTCCCGAGTCATCCACAGTGGACACGTCGCTGCCTGCAACCATATGGTGTTGGATACTATCTAGAATTATAAGGTTACATGAAAACGCTTTTAGTGCAAAAATAATTACTATAGAACTTCTATTTTGCACGGGGGAGAATATATTGAAGGGTCAGTGTATATATACAGAGTGTGAACATGTGTATTATAATAATATGATGGGTAACATATCAGGGGATCAATATACAAAAATGTTTAACAAATACTTTGATCAATATATATACACTGTGAAAAGCCCGTGATCAACTGATATAATATGAACCCTTAATAACTACTTCGACTTCACGTTAACTTACAATAGCATATAATGATTCGTGTTATATAAAATTTGAAGATTATTTGCTCTATTGGATGATGCATAAAATATATGAACCGCTGTTTGGGTCTTTCACAGACAAGTACAGAGGGCGCTCTGGTTGATTAAGTCAACGATATTTTACTAACAGCAACCAACACAAAGAGGCTTGCACTCTAGCACTCTGAGAACGTGTTACTAAGGTTCCTATCCTATTGACCAGCCTCTGCAAAACTGGCATAAATTTCACCTCGGAAACCAACACTTTTTTCTAGCATATAGTAGATGTCCACAAACACACACACACACACACACACACACACACACACACACACACACACACACACACACACACAGAAGAATGGGGACACAAATCAAATCAAAGATGTCCAGAAGCAAGAACACAGAATAATGGAGACACATTACTACCCATCCGAGAGGTCTACAAATGCACACAGATAATAACTGGATCATCTCTCTCTCTCTCTCTCTCTCTCTCTCTCTCTCTCTCTCTCTCTCTCTCTCTCTCTCTCTCTCTCTCTCTCTCTCTCTCGTTCTCCCTCTCCCCTTTTTTTCCTTCTCTGAGACTGCACAATACATTACAACATACACTTCTCTTGAATATTTCCTAAATACCTTAGAGAAGGAGTTGTGTAATATGCCAAGTATGGTGGTCTGGTCGACTATGATAGCATAGCCATCTATCATGATCTTCCTCACGCCCTCCTCATAAGTCCAGGATGCTGCTCTCTTCCTGTCCCATGTCCTCCCGAACAACGAGCTCTTATCTGCCGCCTCACACATAAAATGGATGGTAATATAAACATTACCTTCGATTATATTAACGATGAAAATGTGGCAATATGTATTTTTCTTTGGTAAATGCATTTACGAAAAGGACTGCCTGTACAATATTGATATATTGTTTAGGTAAACCTTAATATTTATATATGGTATAGGTAGCCTTAAAAGAGTTGCCAGGTTACATGAAAATGTATTCTTCTTCTCTCTCTCTCTCTCTCTCTCTCTCTCTCTCTCTCTCTCTCTCTCTCTCTCTCTCTCTCTCTCTCGCTCTCTCTCTCTCTCTCTCTCTCTCTCTCTCTCTCTCTCTCTCTCTCTCTCTCTCTCTCTCTCTCTCTCTCTCTCTCTCTCTCTCTCTCTCTCTCTCTCTCTCTCTCTCTCTCTCTCTCTCTCTCTCTATATATATATATATATATATATATATATATATATATATATATATATATATATATATATATATATATATATATATATATATATATATATATATCTTGTTCTACTTTTCTCCCTCCCTCATACCTTCATTGTCTCATAGACGACACTGCCTCCCATCAATATATAGGGAACTTTTGTCTGCTCGGTCATTTCTTCTAAGTTGGAGAATGGAATATTCACCTACAACAACAACAGAATTACGTGTTAAGAAGTTGTTATGTATTCATATCTAACTACTATATTATAATGGGTACTCTCAATTTTTAAGAAGTTGAACACGAACAAATGAATCAAAATTCATATTAGAGAATGTTTTTTCACACTTCTAAACAAAAGTTTTTATTACTACTGAAAAATAGTTAAAATTAGATATATTGATTTTAAATATTTAAACGATAAATTAATAATAAGAAAAAAAAACTTTAGTTTAAAGTGTACTCTCTGGTTGGTCAGTAGGATTGTATAGTGAACTTAACTCTCCTGTACTTGACAGGATTCTAACATTTGGGTTTCCAAAACTCTTTAAGAAGTACCTTCGGAATGATGATCATAGCCATGAGGTTACCGGTGTAGACGGTGGAGACTATGAACGCTGTGACGAGCCAGAAACATCCCAACACCTTCTCCGTGTGGCTGTGTGATGCCCATCTTAAAGCTACCAATATACACAACTGCTTAGCCCCATCGCCTCATATTTATTCACCTGTGCTTCATGTCACTTGAATTTTTTTGGGTAATATGTACTCAATGTTGCATGTAATTTAGGTTTTGTTTACTTAATGTAACCTGTACTTTACATAGCGTGTACTCTATATGACTACACTTAATAAGTCTATCAGGACACAATGGTTAACTATATCTTAAATATCTACATTGTTTCATTATTACTTTATTGCATACTACTCCTAGTGAATTCGGTCAGTATGTGTATAATGATTTTATCTGAATAACCAGGCTGTGATTCATACGTCAGGCTGCGAGCAGCCGCGTCCAACAGCCTGGTTCATCAGTCCAGCAACCAGGAGGCCTGGTCGAGGACCGGGCCGCGGGGACGTTGAGCCCCGAAATCATCGCAAGGTAACCGCAAGGTAAGGCCAGAATTATACTTAATTATACTATATTATAGGTAATATTATTAAAAATAATATTAGTAATAATACATAATACTAATTACTGTTATTTTACATATGATTAGTATCATTAACTTTACAATGATAGGTAATAATCATTGTAAATCTTATCCTCAGTATTATTATTATAATAAATCATCAAAGGCTAATGCTGAACGTACTCTTGGGTCAGGAATAGAACCAATATCAGCTTAAGTCCGACACCACTTACACTAAGTCCGACACCACTTACACTAAGTCCGACACCACTTACACTAAGTCCGACACCACTTACACTAAGTCCGACACCACTTACACCAAGTCCGACACCACTTACACCAAGTCCGACACCACTTACACCAAGTCCGACACCACTTACACTGTGCGACCATCACGCCATAAGTCCAGAGCATCACGTGATGAATCTTCTGCCTCGCCTCCCGTCCCGTCACAGTGCTGGCCTCGAGTAGGCCTCCATCAGGATCACGAATAGACCTGGCTGCCCGGCCTGTGGTATCAGCGCTGCCTTTGGAAACCCGGGTGGAATCCCACGCGCTGATAGCCAGTAGCAAAACAGAGGTGGTGATGAACACCAGCGTGGTCGTCAGCACAATTAACAACCATATCTGCCTCACCGTAGATAAGATAAACCTTTACTCTCGTAAATAACAAGCAATTTTCACAATATTTTAGTGAATTTAAATTGGATACTTCCTTAAAATTGACGTTAGTTTAAAGATAACTGTATGTGTATAATTTTACGGCATACTGTTTTATTTATTATAAATAAAATTTAACAAATCTGGTATAGAAACTTTTTTTATACTTTTTATTTCAACATTCTTCTCCAAATTTTTTTTTTTAAATATATCAAAGTTACAAAATTTCCTAGACACATTATGGCTTTTGCTGATCAATAAGCAATATATAATTAATGAATAAATCCACAAGGGCCATGATGAGGGTTCGAACTCAAGCCTGGGATGATCCCAGACGCTGCCTTAGTCGACTGGGCCACGACATGGTCAAAAGATTTCACGCGGATCCTGCAGCCTCTCCGAGACATAAACCAAGGTTTTACACAATTCTCCCATGCACTCGGGCTCTGGCAACAAGCTGTTCTACCTCTTCGCCGTCACTTCAATACACTCAGACATCACAATAGCGTGATGTATCAAATGAATAAATCCACAAGGGCCGTGATGAGGATTCGAACTCACGTCTGGGATGATCCCAGAGATCATCCTAGTCCACTGAGGCAGCGTTTGAGATCATCCCAGGCGTGAGTTCGAAACCTCATCACAGCTCTTGTGGATTTATTCATTTGATGCATCACGCTATTGTTAGTTCTGTGTTAATATAATTAATGTTTAAAATCAGTGTTTACATCGAGAGGTGTACGGCGCTTCTCGGTGCATATATACACTGAGAGCTTTAGTTAGTCCTAGACTATGTCCAGGACAGAAGTATACTAGCTGGTTGGTCAGTAAGCCCTCATAGTTGCCTAACAACTCCTCCAGACTCTCCAGTAGTTGATAGGCATTAAGCCCGACATGGAGCCAAACTAGCCGTCTTAGGAGAAAAAGGATTGTTAATTCCGATAATTGTCGCCTGAAAAAAAATAGCTTATTTTAAGGAATATAAATGGGTTAGCCACTACACTAGTGGCTTTCTTTAAGTTAAAAAACGCCATTAGGGATCTGGATCTTTATGCTATACGCATCATAATATTAAAGAAATGTAAATTGATTAGGTTGATGAGACTAAGCATACGGTCGCACGCTACTAAGAATTACAAAAAATTACAAAAGATACAAAACTACATATTACAAAACCCTTCTCAAAATGATTACAATTTGAATACAGGTAAACACTTAGTAAACACAGATATATGACTTGTGTTTGATAGAATCAAACTCCGAATCAGAGACACACATCCCTTATCCTCCACACACATAAATGTTTATAAAAATGGGAAATTTAACTTTCCAGACAAGCTATGAGAGCAAAATTTTTAAATAGTCAGAAAGAGGTAAAGATTTTTCTTTTAAACGATCTCTATTATTAAAAAAAATATTAAAATTACACTTATTTAGAATCATATTAAAAAATTACAATAAAATATTTTCTTGTTTGATTTTTCAGTGCTGTTCTTACCGTCATTCTTAATGTTTCAAAATTATTTCACTCTGACTACATTCCAATCTTTAAAGATTTGTATACAACTGAATAGTTATTAATGCTCATGTTCCATACGTTGCCAAAATACAATATTCAAATGGAATAAAATACCTGGGTAAGGTTATCAGAGCTATCTCCTACTACTGGAATAATGAAGGAAATCACACACAGAGATCACACTAACGTGATGCATCAAATGAACAAATCCACAAGGGCCGTAACGAGGATCCTCGTCACGACCCTTGTGGATTTGTTCATTTAATGAAGGAAATTACATATATATTTATTGACTTCAAAGGGATTGTATAATTAATACTATGTGAATATTATATGCTGTTTGAGCTCCATCTCTCGCCATGAATGTGAATGGTCTCATTAAGGCAGATCACTAAGGATATGTAAGGCCTGATAAAGGCAGCTCACCAGAGACGTGAAAGGTCAGATGAAAGCAGCACTCAATGAGTGAAGAGGTAATAAAATATCTGATGCCATTAGCTCACCATGGGAGTGAAAGGTTTGACGAAGCCTGCCAGGTCAGACTCCAGCTTGGGGCGCGAGTACGCGATCACCTGTTGGTCGTGGAACAGAGGAATACTCATGTCTACCGCTGAAGCTCTTTCCCAGCTGATGCCCATTGGACCAAGCATCATGTCCACCTCCTAAAATGTTTATACATTTGTTAGACGAAAGGGCAAACTATTTTGACCGTGTCTTCTAATATACAACAGCCATTTCTTTTTCACCTGGACTTGAAATAACATCTTTTTCCTGTTTGTCGAATTTTTAGATTGTATTTGCTCAGTCAGAAAAATGGAGTAGAAAATGCAAATTAGATAAAAAGCACAAAATTTATTTAATACTGACTGTAGTATTTTTACTGCTCATATACGAAACAGAAGAATAATATTAAATCTGGGTTGAATCTAATCGGGTAAAGAGCAATATCGCTTGAAAGATATCCCTCGATATACAAAATAGCGCATCGCTTATGATAACCAATCGTAATGTGCTTCATCATTAATATATTAACTCTGCCGCATAGCTAACGATTCCCATAAGTATGCAGTAATATGGTTTAACACCTACCCCATTTGCTTACGATACCCATAAGTATGCAGTAATATGTTCTTACACCTGCCCCCATCGCTAACGATACCCATAAGTATTGAGTAATATGGTTTAACATCTGCCCCATCGCCTACGATACCAATAAAGATGCAGTAATAGGGTTTTACACCTGCGCCATCCCTTACGATACCCAATAAGAGGTCAGGAAAGAAGAGAGAAGGTAAGACTCACCCCCCGGGTACACATGCCCACCATACCCGACCAAGTGCCATTGGGGAGCTTGAAGCCCCATCCGGTATCCTTCGGGCGCACCAACTCGTAGCTGCATGTAAATAGTCAGCAACTCGTTAGAATAATGATGTACAATGATAATATGCAGTTGTCATTATTGTGCTCCAATGACTGTCTAAAACAGCTTTGTTAATGATATTACATTACTTCTGAATGTGTTTCTCTCTCTCTCTCTCTTTCTTTCTCTCTCTCTCTCTCTTTCTCTCTCTCTCTCTCTCTCTCTCTCTCTCGCTCTCCCACATGTTGTCGGTAATGTTGACATACAGTGATCGCCTTACCAAGTGGTAGTTTGCATACCTGCGAGAGTGAGCCTTATTCCTAGGCACGATAATTTTTCCCATATATATATATATATATATATATATATATATATATATATATATATATATATATATATATATATATATATATATATATATATATATATATATATATATATATATATATGTCGTACCTAGTAGCCAGAACTCAATTCTCAGCCTACTATGCAAGGCCCGATTTGCCTAATAAGCCAAGTTTTCCTGAATTAATATATTTTCTCTAATTTTTTTCTTATGAAATGAAAAAACTACCCATTTCATTATGTATGAGGTCAATTTTTTTTTATTTTTTTATTTGAGTTAAAATTAACGTAGATATATGACCGAACCTAACCAACCCTACCTAACCTAACCTAACCTATCTTTATAGGTTAGCTTAGGTTAGGTTAGGTTAGGTAGGTTAGGTAGTCGAAAAAACATTAATTCATGAAAACTTGGCTTATTAGGCAAATCGGGCCTCGCATAGTAGGCTGAGAAGTGCGTTCTGGCTACTAGGTACGACATATATATATATATATATATATATATATATATATATATATATATATATATATATATATATATATATATATATATATATATATATATAAATATACATATATACATATATATATATATATATATATATATATATATATATATATGTATATATATATATATATATATATATATATATATATATATATATATAAATAAATTTATTTTAGTTTATGTATTATGCTTCATTTTCCTCTTATTAATATTTATAATGTAGAATATTGCTAGTAAAACCTTTGTATTGTATTCGACAATTAAGAAGTTAGTAATGATTTCATACGAGTTAATTATCCATAAGACAATTAACATGTCTATATTTATTTTGGTGCTACGGCGATGAATGCAAACGTCCAAAATACAGGGAGGGTTCGAGCCTCCTGAAGGCGTGAGGAGGAGCCTCACAACCCAAGGCAGAATGCTCTTGGGTTGTGAGGGGTAGAGGTAGGGTGAGGAATAATTCCTTATAGGAAATCAGGAATTATAATACAATAAGAATTATTAAGTCTTATTCCTTATTAAGACTACTCAATAGCTTGGTCGATAAAGCTTCGGTCTCACATGCGTGGAGTACACGGTTCGAGTCTTCTAGAACCCAGGTGAATGGAAATCAGGAATGATAATGTTTTCATATTTTTACCAATATGAAGGTTGTTCTAATAATCAGGTAATTCCTAGACTATGACATCTTTATTCACAAACTGAACCATACCATGACGATATCTTACAGGTGTATCGTAAATCACATTATTCAACCTATGAAACGATCCACTGTAGTTATTAGGACCTGATCTATTTATCATAACAATAAAATTAAGAGAAAACAACATTATCATTCTATTAAAATAGATGTAATATAATAAGATTAATATGTAAAGAGAATACAGTTTGAAGGAACTTACCAAAATTTCACTTGCTGAGAGATGACAGTTAGAATGGTTTTCATCACACCAGCCAGGCCGTTACTGCCTGTGTAGATGGAATATGGTGGCCACTGTGGGAAGGACACAATACATGCAAACATCCACTAAGTCTTGTGGATATGCAAGTCAGGAAGCTTTAGCTTCTCGAATAACATTTCTATTATTAAATCTAACACTTCCCGAAGTAAACGTTAAGCACTCAACAAACGTTGTTTCGCTACGAAAATGATAAACATGTCCCTAATTATACAGTAAGAACCGCTCCTTCAAAGTTATAAGTTTAGCATAGAATATTTATATTCAACTTCATGCATAAGGTTCAACCTAGCTGAACCATCTCAGGTAAAGATATTTCATTATTAGATCGTTCAGGTAAAACTAAATGTAATGTTTGGTCAGTAAGCTCCTATGATGGCCTTAATGACCTCAAAGCGCTTGAATGGAATCAAGTCCGACACTAAAACAATGTTTCAGGACCTTTTTATAAAGAAAAGACTGGTACACTAAATTTTATGATTCTTTATAATGGGAAAATCAAATGCAGCAATAATGAATGGTAATATTTTCTCACTGAGATATATATAAACACACATATACATGTTACGGTCACTATCGACCAGTAACCGGGTTCTTGATGTTATAACCTTTTCATAGTATCCGACTCCAAGTCGGTAGTACGCTTTCAAGAACTGGCTGTATTGTGCAATGAATAAATAAGGAGGGGATAAACACGACACTATTCCCGGCACCAATATATTTACTCATTCACCGTTAAAAATATGTTAGGTTAAATAGATTATAAAAACACTTATGTACAAGTGTCACTTTCACGCAGGACACAAGCGTTTGCAGTGTTCACCAACTCAAGTGTTTCCATTGTCCATTACCTTGTCCACTTGTACTAGCAAACACTGGCGAATTCACATTGTACGTGGGCCAGTCCACCGACACAGTATCACGAGGTGCCTAGACCTCACTATCGCTCTCCAGCTACTCACTGGCAGAGGACGTCAGCCACACGCTGATAGGGGTCACAAACAACCATATGCAGGGTTAGCTAACCCCTGGCAGAAGTCTCTAGCAACCGGCTAGCAGCACTTCACGATAGGCACCTCACTGTCATCCGTTACTCTCCTAAGCCAATTCCTGGATACGCCGATCTCTACCACTACTGCGTAATTTAGCAGCTAACACACTGCTTAGGTCGACGGCGACTTTCTTGGTCTTCTTCCTGGACCAAACTGAGAGTTCGTGGATTGCCCAAGGTAAACTACCTTCCTCAGTACAATCACCTCCTCACGTCACTTCTGTCGATATAAAACGTTATCAGTCAGATGGACGGGACACTGGGGAAACCATGAGGAGAGTTGACATTATGCTTAGTAGCATATCCTAGATCGCGATAATCTTGATACACCATCCACCAGAGGTCATCCACGTCGGCCTCTCTTGCTAACTAAGGCAGGAAACAGGAGCCATTGATCACTGCCACGCTTCCACCAATAGATTGTGTTGTCCACATAGCGTCCAATATCAGGGGAACTCGGGTGCCGACCAACAGATGGCGCCGAAATCGACACTCCATACTCCAATGAAGGTAGCGATACCGTAACAATATATATATATATATATATATATATATATATATATATATATATATATATATATATATATATATATATATATATGTATATATAAATATATATAAATAAATATATATATATATATATATATATATATATATATATATATATATATATATATATATATATAATCAGGTAGTGTAATTTCTTTGTGACTCCTTGTAATCATCCTCAAGTCTCTCCAATTACTAACGAAGAAGCTGCAGGTTTTCACAAGTATGAGTTGAGACTAATGGAGATTGACGAATACCTTGTGGCAATCAAGAAGGATTCAGTCACTCTAATCCACTTTCTTGTCTGTAACAGGTATATTTAAAACTCTTATTTTATTGCTTGCTAAGATTTCCCTTGACGTGCGAATGTGTGTTTTTCTAGTAACATAAATGGGTGCTGTATACATTTTAAACGTCACTCATGTATATAAGAATTAGTTTCTGGTTAAGCCTAACTTTCAGTGTTTCCTGGAGTACAAACTACTCAGAGCGCAATTCCAAGTGATTACTTCTGTGTAGCCCATGTATTTCTCCAAGAGCTTTCCATATCAAGACTTTCCTACTAAATATTTATCTGCTGAACAATTTAAGAAAAAGACTCAGTGTACTCACGTGCCCATAAACTACTCGATAGCAGTGACCCTCATCCATTGTGTATCACCACCTGAAAATTATAATAAAATGTATTTTTAGTTGTTTACATACACTAATAATTACTTGGTTTGACACACACACTCACACACACACACACACACACACACACACACACACACACACACACACACACACACACACACACACACACACACACAGGAAGACGCTCGTTACAGCTGACTAACTCCCAGGGACCTATTTACTCCTAGGTAACCGGGGCATCAGCGTGAAAGAAACTCTGCCCATCATTTCTCGCCGGCGCCGGGAATCGAACCCGGGCCATAGGATCATGTATGTGTGTGTGTGTGTGTGTGTGTGTGTGTGTGTGTGTGTGTGTGTGTGTGTGTGTGTGTGTGTGTGTGTGTGTGTGTGAAAAAATAGAAGTTAGAAACAGTTGATTTGACTGTTGAGAGGCGGGCCGAAAGAGTAGAACTCAACCCCCGTAAGCACAACCAGGTGAATACAACTAAGTGAATACACACACACACACACAGGAGAAATGGTCTTGAAAATGGCTGCTAAAGTTCAACTCAGGAAAGTGTAAGGTAATGAAATTAGGCGAAGGGAGCAGAAAGCTGAACACAAGGTATCATCTTGGAGGTGAAATCTTGCAAGAGTCAAATATAGAGAAAGATCTGGGGGTTGATATCACACCAAACCTGTCCCCAGAGGCCCACATCAAAAGAATATCATCAGCGGCATATGCTAGACTGGCCACCTTAAGAAATGTCTTTAGAAACTTGTGTAAGGAATCGTTCAGGACCCTGTATACCGCATATGTAAGACCAATCCTGGAGTCCATACCTAGTTAAACACAAGACATAGAGAAGATTCAGCGGTATGCCTCGTGGCCTCGTAGCCTGGTGGATAGCGCGCAGGACTCGTAATTCTGTGGCGCGGGTTCGATTCCCGCACGAGGCAGAAACAAATGGGCAAAGTTTCTTTCACCCTGAATGCCCCTGTTACCTAGCAGTAAATAGGTACCTGGGAGTTAGTCAGCTGTCACGGGCTGCTTCCTGAGGGTGGAGGCCTGGTCGAGGACCGGGCCGCGGGGACACTAAAGCCCCGAAATCATCTCAAGATAACCTCAAGAAGATATGCCACTAGGCTCGTCCCGGAACTGAGAGGAATGACCTACGAGGAAAGGTTAAAGGAGCCGAACCTCACATTCTTGGAAAACAGAAGAGTAAGGGTAGACATGATAACCACCTACAAAATTCTCAGGGGAATTGAGAGGGTGGACAAAGACAAACTCTTCAGCACGGGTGGGACACGAACAAGGGGACACATGTGGAAACTTAGTGCCCAGATGAGCCAAAGAGACGTTAGAAAGAATTTTTTCAGTGTCAGAGTGGTTAATAAATGGAATGCACTACGAAGTGATGTGGTGGAGGCTGACTCCATACACAATTTCAAATGTAGATATGATATGAACACGGAGCCCAGTAGGCTCAGGAATCTGTACACCAGTTGATTGACAGTTGAGAGGGGGGGGGGGGACCAAAGAGACAAAGCTCAACCCCTGCAAGCACAATTAGGTGAGTACAATTAGGTAAATACACACACACACACACAAACACAAACACTAGAAGACACTGTATCCTTCAAGAAGCAGCACGAAGAGACTCCCAAAATCATTAAAACGATTCAGAACAAGAATGTTTATTTAAATTCTAGACAGCCATCACATTGATTTGCATTACATCTTAAGACCACCCAAATTTCCGCGCTTTAAACAATTCCATCACTAGACTCTATTTATGTCTCACGTGAGGTACGAAGTTCACTCCTGCTGTTGTGAAGAGGAGGAGCGAGTGTGAGGTGTGCTCGCTGCCCTGCCGTGAGAGAGGTGAGCCTTCCCTCTAACTCTCGTACTAATTATAAGATTTGTTTCAGTATAAAAATATAAATACATAGGTTAATTGATTCCGACAGTGATTGATTTCATTTTATTTACAATAGTAAATTAACTCGTACAATGCGGTCATATTGCTTTTCGATTCTTTGTAAAGTGTTTTACGCAAGACCTTAATTCAACTGTTAGAAGTTGACCTAGAAGTTGTTACCTAGCAGTAAATAGGTACCTGGGAGTTAGTCAGCTGTCACGGGCTGCTTCCTGGGGGTGGAGGCCTGGTCGAGGACCGGGCCGCGGGGACACTAAAGCCCCGAAATCATCTCAAGATAACCTCAAGATCTCAAGATAACCTAACTGCAGTTACAAAAGCAGTTTACAAGAGAAATAGATAAATAGAAAAGGTTTCAAATCATTTAGTCGTGGGAGGTGAGAGCAGTTATGTGGCCGCTGGCTCACAGTGTTGACTGAAGGTTTCTCTGTAATACTGAGGCGACATTTTTCAAAACGTGTGCAATATTCTTTTGAAAATAACGTTAGACCTTTATCATAGCCAGTCCTTTTGTCAGAGAGACAGACAAGAATATACAGGTTACGAACTCTGCAAAAGTAATTAAAGAAAATGGAGAACGCCTACTGGCCAAAATGAGAAAGCAAAAATTTAAATTCACTCAAATTTATCCATATATATATATATATGTGTCCAATCTTCTGTTGAATGACTTGGTGGTCTCAAGACATCTCAGGTTTGAAGGGCCGACGACGTTTCGGTCCTTCCTGGACCATTCTCAAGTCGATTGTGTCACACAGTCACACAATCGGCTTGAGAATGGTCCAGGACGGACCGAAACGTCGTCGCCCCTTCACCTTCTAGTGTGTGGTCTGGTCAACATCTCAACTCTATTATATTACCTGAGAATTTGTTCCATATAACCATCCGGTTTCCAAGCAAGCATTTACGCAAATCTTTTCTGAATTAACATATTCAATAATTCCTTGTTTCATGTTCGCTTTTGAGTTAACATAAATATTACCAAATTAATATCCCCTTTGTTATGCTTTTGCATCCTCTTGTACTATTCAGTCATCTCACAAACCCAGGGAACACCCCAGACAACACAGGATCACAGACCAAGGTAACACCCCAGACAACACAGGATCACAGACCAAGGTAACACCCCAGGCAACACAGGATCACAGATCCTGGGAACACCCCAGACAACACAGGATCACAGACCCCAGGGAACACCCCAGACAACACAGGATCACAGACCCTGGGAACACCCCAGACAACACAGGATCACAAACCCCGGGGACACCCCAGACAACACAGGATCACAGACCTAAGAAACACCCCAGAGAACACAGGGTCACAGACCAAGGGAACACCCCAGACAACACAGGATCACAGACCAAAGGATCACACCAGACAACACAGGGTCACAAACCAAGGGAACACCCTAGAGAACAAAGGTTCTCAGACCAAAGGAACACCCCAGACAACACAGGATCACAGACCTAAGGAACAACCCAGAGAACACAGGGTTACAGACCAAGGGAACACCCCAGACAACACAGGATCACAGACCAAAGGATCACACCAAACAACACAGGGTCAAAGACCAAGGGAACACCCTAGAGAACAAAGGTTCTCAGACCAAAGGAACACCCCATACAACACAACAGGAACTCTTTATAACCATCTACCATACTTCCTTACTAAGTATGGTATTTTTGGCTTCTCATATTTATTAAAATTCATCTTGTTATGTTAGACGAAAATAATATAGTCATAATATAGTCAGTAATTTGAGCTGTTGGGGAGTTTACTGGTGGCTGCTAGACATTGAGTGCAATGGATGATTTATGTTATTCAATTGGATGCTCTTATCGAAATTGGAAACTATTATTACAGATTTTACATGCTGGTTCTGAAGTGTATTTTGACTGCATGTAAACAATTAAATTCTAACCTTAAAATATATGATATTTATAAACATTAGATAACATTTAATACATTTTACAACTTGTCTAATACTTTACCACTACTCCTTTAAATAGCTTCCTACATCAAAACTTAGTCTAAATCCTCACCAATTTGTGAACTAACTCACCAAGATATCTAATTCCTCACCATACTTTCTCCTAGATCAATAACTTCTCCTCTACTGCATCAACATGTCTGGAATCTCACCAACTTGTGTAAGTTCCCTTCAACATGAATTTGATCCGTATATAATTTTTTTTGTCTTGTCTTTACATCATGATCGCTGAGCCATCAAATAAACTCTACGGGAAATCCCTATACTATTGTACCATCTTGTCAGAAGACTCTAAAGCTCCTTCTTGAGGTTATCCTGAGATGATTTCGGGGCTTAGGGTTCTCGCAGCCCCTGTCCTCGACCATGCCTCCTTTTAGCTACACATCCCCAGGAAGCAGCCCGCAGCAGCTGTCTAACTCCCAGGTACCTATTTACTGCTAGGTGAACAGATGAATCGGGTGACAGAAACTCTGCCTATTTGTTTCCGCCTCCGCTGGGGAGGCTGCTTCAGCGGTCTTTTCAAATACTTCATCAAGATCGTAATCAAATCGTAAAACCTCATCTCCGAAGCTCTGTATCTCGAATCAGTTAAAATATTTTACGACATAAGAATTTTGATACATAGGTTAACAGATTCCACAAGTGATTGATTTAATTTTCTTTACAAAAATAACCTACCTCCTCCATTGGGGCAATACTGCATTTCGTTTATTTCTGAGATTTTTTAAAGCGATTCTATGATTCAACTGGCCAGAAAAATGGTGAACAACAGATGAACACAGAGAAGTACATAAATAATTAAACTTGAAGCCTGTGGGGAATTTGATGACCGCTCACTCTTACTATGTAGACTAAAGAGTTCTAGATAATGCTGAGACAATATATATCAATGAATAAATATATAAATGCATATATAGGGGTAGCACCTCTGGTGTAAATGTAGGGACCCATAGCTTAGAAGAAGGGAATAAAGTGCGTTCAGAGAAAAACTTGCCGTTTGACTCTAAATGCTTATGAGTATTTACATCTGCTACCACCCTTTATAGAATAACTTCGGACCACTATTGTAGCCTAACTCATCTTCATGAAGACAAAGTTAAGACAATCGAGGACTAACATCACAGTCACAGACCGAGGGAACATTTCTGACATGACAACACTACATGTTTTCACTGTTCTCTATATCCAGTCATTTTATGTAATTAAATCTTTACTATTTGGGTAATAATAATGTCCTTTTTAAAATGAATTTTCACGTTACAAACAATGACCACTGAAACCGAGTCTTCTCTAAGCTCACTAATTGCAAGTTTTTGCAGTTTATCTCACATCTCGGAATAACCATTCCTGAACTCCCTACTTATCCCAATAACAATAACTATCACTGGAAAACAATAATGATTCCAAAAATTTGTCCTTAACTAGATGGCTAACGCTACCTTCGTAAGAGTCCAAACTGACTCGAACTCTTCATACGATGAGGCATCAGTCAGTATAAGTCATAAGTACACTAATGACTTCATTAGCTCAAACATTCCTTCATTGGACTAATGAAATATTACTAGCAACAATTAAAATTCATTTATAATTAGAGAGGCATTTTTTGAAATGCAATTGGCTACTTAAGTAAATGGAGTTGTAAAGTTCTAATTACATCCCTTCGAAAACATTGCTAGACTCTAATGAACCGGTGGTGCTATCAGATGGCGATGATGGAGGATACGTGACATTGAAATCGTCAAAATACGCGAACAAAAATACACACACTCACAAAGTGGGACTGGGTTTTTGCTCGTATACCATTTCAGTTAAGAAGATAAATCTTATATTACAGTCAAGAATACAAACGGCAGTAAAAAGAGCATCAAATTATGGAAACATTTCCTTGTTGAGGAGTGAAGTAATTTGAACTGTATTTTTCTTTTATTTTATTATTATAAGTATACCAAATAGAATGAGAAATAAAGTTTCCCTTTGAAGTCATTTAAAACAAAATTCCGACAAAGAGCATAAATTTCAACGATATTCTCGTCATGTGCATTTTATAATTTTAAGATTTTTTATATATTTATTTACATTGGCATCAGCCACTCTGGTATTTTTGCAAACCTCAAAAATAGTCATAGATTTATTAATTTATATTATCTATATAAATAACAATGGAAATGTTCGTTTGATCAAAATCGCTAATCTCCGAAAGTTCTTCACCGATTGCTTTGAGATTTTGACACAACATTGTATTTGAATAGGCGCGTCTTTTTATATACCTACTATAAAGATGCCACCCTTGTGACAGGTAAAAAACATGGGTTATTTAAAAACAACGCCATCTGTTGCACATAATAGCAACATCCACGCTATACTAAATATGTCACGAATTCCATTTCAATGTTTCCGATTGCATTGATAAATTTTATTTTCATAGATTTTTATTTATGTTATTTTTTTATGGAATTACTTTGTGTGCCATTGTGTTGGAATTGAGCTGTGTTGTTTACCATACCGTTCATTTCATAAGTATAAGTATAGGTGCCACACCTGTGACAGGTAAAACTATGCTTTTCTTGACAAACAGCGCCATCTGTTGCACGTAAGAGCAAAACATACGGTACACTAAATATGTTACAATTCCATTTCAATGTTTCTGATTGCAATGATAAATTGAATTTTCATAGATTTTGATTTATTTTTATTTAATTATTTTGTGTGAATTGCGTTGGAATTGAGCTGTGTTGTTTACCATACCATTCACTTTGTGAGTAGAGTTTATTTTTTTAATTTTTAATATTTTCAATTCATTTTTTAACTGTTTTTCTTATATTTCAGTGATGGGAACATCAGATCACTTAATGATCCCAATTTTCTGATGGAAACATCAGACCATTTGGGTAGGCATCGGACGAGGGAGTGGGGATGACGAGGGGACGGAAGTGAGAGATCGTGTGGAGGACGAGGTGACAAGGGAGGGGCTAGGTAATGGTGGGGAAGGACGAGGGGACAGGGGTGTTTGGGATAGAGGGGACGAGGGGATAGGGGAATGGAGAATGGCTGGGAGGACAAAGGGACAGGGTGAGTGGGGCATGGTGGGAAGGAATAGGGGATGGTGGGGTGGACGAGGGGACGGTGGACTGAGGAATAGTTTGGAGGCCGAGGAGACGGGTGAGGAGAGAATGGTGGGGAGGACTCGAGGAAGCAGGGAAAGTTGCTAAGCCACAGCAACGCGTGGCCGGGTAGTGCTAGTATATTATATTTTTACATCTTACATCAACGTGGAACATCAATGTCCCAATTGCCTCAGAGACACTTGGCCCCTGGGGTAAAAGTGCCGCGAGTTTTTTAAATGAACGGAGTTCTTGTGAAACAAGTAGAGACCCTAGCGTCGCCAGTTTCTACTAAAGGCGCCTTAGTGTGGCAATTCAGATAGGAAACGCACACTGCTTCCATGGTTCCTGTCCGCCATCTGAGAAGCTGGAGGACCTCTACAATCTGTGACAAGTAGCCTTTTACCCCTGCATGTAACCAACGTTGTAATTCATTTTGTGTAATGAAGTTTTAAATCAAATAAATTGACAACATACAAAATATATTGGGTGTGGTGGTAGAAGACAATATGTGAGTGTACGCGGGTACCCCAAAAGTCTCCCTCGGATGCTACGTATCGTCTTCTTCGAGCAAACGCAACCGGAGGCGGGACTCCTAATATTATTAAATATATATAAACGTAAATTTTATATATTTTTTCATTCACCTGAAAACTCGGAGCCTCCACCATATTCAGGAGATATGGTGTCGGTTCGAGGGGACGGTATCAGATATGGTTGACAGTATCCAGGGGGACATTTATCTATCAATATTTGGGTGAATATATATCTGTCATCAGTTGCCTTCATTTATCAAGAATTGTGTGAATTTATCTATCCAGAGTTGTGTAAATTTATCTATCCAGAGTTGTGTAAATTTATC